AGACGCAGACACAGACACACATACACACATACATACAGACACACACACACACAGATAGCCCTTCGACAATATGCGTTTTTGCATCGCATAGCTGCAAAAAACGCATAATAAATAGCGCAGTGCATCATGCCTCTCGTGTAAGCATGCGTTTTTGTGCAGTTTTGCATCTGGGACATAGGGCCGAACCGAGCAAATTCCCTTTTCCTGTTATTTCTAGATGCGAATAATCCCGCATTTTTAAGTTTCATGCCCCGTGGAATTAAGAGTTCATTAAAGTTGTTTTATGGATCTGAGATCGTGCTTACAAGACTCCAGTTTTTAAGCTACTCTCCCTATGGAGTTAATGCCAATGATTTCCAACCTTCTCGAGGCGGTACATGTGACTTTGGCGTACATAAACGCTAATTTTATCATTATGGAGCTACGCAGGGCAGGAAGCATCCTCGTAAAGTTTTTACGCCTTAGCTTCTCTGATTACTGAGCTGCACAGTCATGCAGCTTCAAATTTCAAGTGTTCATAGTTATATGAACGCACTTGTCTCTCTCACGCAACGCTTTGTCCTGCACTTTGTTCCCAGCCCAGAAAACTTTATGGATCGAGACATATGCGCTAGAAAACACTAGAAATGGGCATAAATGTCAAGTTCTCACGAAAAACATATTGGTCTTCACGCCTTCAGCTTCATTTTTATGCGCTTTTGTCGTGCAGCGCTAGAGCGCTGCAACAGGCAGCAAAAATGCATATTGCAACGACCCTGTCAGTGTGTATGTGTGTGTATGTTAGTTTGTGTGTGTGTGTATGTGTGCGTGTGTGTGTGTTCTTCTGTCCGGTTATTTCAACTTGCTAACCACGCAAGCTTTGAAGTTGAAATTTTGCCAGTATGTTCCCCAGCCAGGTACCATTCCAGGATCGCGGTTCCAACCCTGACGCACTTCTGGGCCTCGCGTACGAGCACGTGAAAGTTTTGGCGCGAAAATCGCTGACTCGCGAAAGAGAAAAGCTAGAAAGCTGAAACCTTGGGAGAATGTCCCCTAGCCATGTATAACAAAAAGATTTCAAATTCAGCTGCCCAGGAGTGCCCGGGGCTTACGTACGGGCACGTGAAAATT